GCGTTTCTACCGATGGTCACAGTGTAAAACTGTCGTTGTTGTGGTGTGTTCAATTTACTTTGCCACCGTTAAAAATTGGTGTTCTTGTTGTGTGTTCTTTCAGGGTGCAATACTTTAAAAGTACCATTTGAACAAAGTACATGCTTGTGTTGTGAAATTTTTTGTTTGTGTTCCTTCAGGCTGGAACAGGTAATGCAGATACACAATTGACTCACCAGACAAAACCAGCCAGTATTTTTTTTTCATCTCAGGAAAAAGGAATAAATAAACATTAACCAAAAACTGTAAAGAAGACCAAAAGACCAACAGAGAACTAGGAAGGATATGTTCTCCATAATGCACTTTTACATTTATGTCAACTCAATATGCAAACAGCAAGTAGTTAATTTCCTGAAGTGATTTGTTAAAAAAGCACTCTTCTTGAATTACCAAAAAATGTCCTGAACCAAAACATAATTAATCACCATGAGACAAACAGCTGGTATAGCCCAGTACAATTTGACGCATAGCAAAGTACATGAAATATATGTAAACTATGTAAAATATATGCAAAATACATATATCCCTTACATCAGACCATATATTTCTTGTCATATTAATGTACCGATGACAAAGTTTACATGCAGATTGATTTCAAAAACTGCAGAAAAACACAAGCCCTGAAAATCTAATCATGAATCAGCCAGTATTTAGTGAATAAGTCACTAAATACTTTTATTCAAAGGGATATTATTGTATTACTACAACCTGTAAATATCTTAATCAGAAGGTGTTTTCTCCAATATCATGCCTACATGTGTCATCTAAAATACCACATTTTCATCCTTTGTCTTTTACTCGTCGTTAATTTAGAATTTTTTCGAAGTCTTAATACTGAGCCTTGCGTAATCAGATTATATATAATCAAACAGCTTATCCCATACATACCAGTACATGCAATACTGTCAATATAGGTTATTTGGCATCACTTTACATAACAGGCACCTTCATAAAACATTCATGTAAAGGCTTTAATATACATTTATATTAAACACTGTACAATAATAACAACCATTATAATTGCATAACAGTATTATGTTCTATGAATGCATTATCAAGGCATTATGAAGGTGCAGTTCATGTAAATCATTAATGAGTGTGTGTGTATATATATATATATATATATATACACACACACACACACACACACACATATATACTGTATATATACACACACACACGTGTGTGTGTGTGTGCGTGTGTGTGTATGTGTCAAACCAGCAGTTTCATCCCTACATC